ATCTAATTGCAGGATCAACTATCAGAGCCTGTTTTCTTTTCTCACTAAACGCTACGAATATCTACGAATCTTGCTGAACCTTCCGTATCAAGGCTATGCACTTCGAGGAAGCATATATACTTTTTCGTCTTTAGGAATTCGGCAATTCGATGCTTTATATTATTATTATATAATAATACTAATACAACTCCAGCCCACGCGCAAATCTAGGTTTAAAACACTTTTTTTACCCGAAGTATCTAAGCTGGATGGGATTAAGCTTCTCACTCACCCTGCTTTATGTCATGTCTAGACTTTCCAACATCTGTTGCAGTCAATGGTTTAATATTTTCATGGAGAACCTTTAATTCTCGAGACGCGATTCAAAATGGTGTTACAGTATTCTTTTGTTCCCAACACGAAGGATAGCATTATAAAGGAATCCAATAACTACAATCGAGGTGGTAAGAAAATAAAAGTGTTTAAATATAACCTATATTAAAATCATTTTTTCAATATAACTATTTGTTTACTGAAAAGCGCTGTATAACTATATCATTTGTCCAAAGAAGATGTTGGGAGCTATAGATTACTAAAATATTATAATAATTTATTCAGTGAAATCCACGACCTACAATACCTTTATCGTTGTAATTATTAGTTAATAAAGTTTTATTACCGATTATGGTGAAGACTAAATAAAGGTAATATTTTCAGATTGAGCGTTGTTGTTATGTAAAGAGTTTTCAAGGGAACGCCTGATATAGCTAGATAGTCCTATACGCCTAGACATAGTCCTAAGAGTATTGAAATATGTATTTCAAAATTTTAAATACTATACTTTAAGTATCCTTAATTCATGTTAATTCCATATCACATGAATCGTAGTATATGGGATGTTTAACTAATGTAACAAAAAATATCTGGCGCGGTGCGCGCATCACACAACTTTTACTTAATACCCTTTTCATACCAGAAATTAGTATTTTCAGACAAAGGGGAATTGAAAGTAAAAATTAACAACGCTATATTGATTTATATTTCATTGTGGGTATTTTTATTTGTATAAGTACCCTTATAAACTCGTTTATACAAATTTTAATATTTATATTTCTGTAATCTATACAATTAAATATTAAATAATACCAACAATAGCATTTATAAAAGCCACATATGTATATTTATACAATATTGTCGGAGTCGTTATTATATTAAGCTCATATTACTTATGAAAGCGTGTTCAAATCTTTCGGCAAAGCTCGGGTGCGCTTGTATTCCTTTGCTTCCTCAATCATAATTATTCTCCGTTACGATCTCTTATTTCTCTTTTAGTTAATAATCAAATTTTTTCATATTTTATATTTAACTATATTTTATATTAGATATTAATGTGAAATGGTCAATTGTTTCAAATAAAAAAATTAAAGGTAATCTTATAGGGAAAGCTAATCTTGAAAATAAGCCATTTAAGCTCTGTTAGAGAACATAAATCAGAATAAAAATTACATTTTGTTTAAAACTGCTTAATTTTACACTGCCGTGATGAATTTAATCAAAATCGTTAGGGCCGTTTTCGAGGAAATCGTAAAAATATGTTTAGTCCATTGTATTAAGTGACACTTTCTATTAGCCGATTTCGACGAAAAAATTGCTGTAACATCCCCAGTATATAAAAACCTTAAATATGCAATTCCACTTTCGTATGAATTTTCGTTATTGGGCTAGATTGTTAACACACACACAGACCATATTGCGGGACTCGGTTATTTGGACTCAGGGAACATCAAAATGTGTATTTCCATTGAAAACTGAAATTTGAAAATTTTCACGATCGCAATACTTTTCTTTACTATATATTTCATGTAAGTGAAAGTAAAAAATACTTTTAAAACCATTGTCGTTAACACCTAGGTGAATTGTTTCTGAAATTTACGTCTATGGATGTTTAAACTTAACGACGTAGTAGTCGGGTACGTTCCACTACATTTAGGGCTACTGACAATAAAGTTCCGTCTCATGTATTTTCTGCATGTCAATATCCGAGTTTTGATTAGAGGAGGAGAACACCCGACAACTACACCAAATTTAAATATTCATCGATATTAATACCCGTTATCAATATCAAACGAAAAAAAAATATTTAAAAATACTGGGTATCTCTGAATTTTTTACTGTCGACAGTTTTCAAGTTCTTTTGGAACCAGAAGTTTTTCACTTGCTACTTTTCCAGTAAAGATTTTACAGAACTTTCGTTTAAAAAAAAATCTTTTATTAAAAAGTTCTGTCGATTTAATTCAAAAGTCAATCTAAAATTGCCTTTCATTCATTCATAGCTATTCAATCAAACGGCACAGCAGAATCATGTCTAATTCATTTATGACAGATAATAACTCTAATCTAAGCCCAATTACTGTTTATTTTTCATTTAAAGGACCTTTTTTTACGAACTTGAATAAATAAAAATTAAACTTTTACGATAAATCTGAAACTTTATCATACAAAAGTTCCTTAGAACTCATATTTTAATAACTTTCTTCACGAAAATTTTCATAGAAACTGTTAAAATGGTACTTTTTAAAAAAGCTTCAACCCTCTAATCAATACTATGAAAAATTTACCAATGTGTTCAAGTTAGGGATGTCGATATTATCGAAATCTCGATTTTTTACCATAGATAGTATCTGCTTCGATATTATCTCCTATCGATATCGCAACTTCGATATTTTAATTTAAAATTATTTCCACTTGGATAAACGTCTCCCTTGGAATCCGTATACTAGACTGAAACGACAAGAAACTGTTCAACGTTTCCGACTACTCCAACACTTACTAGACTAACGCTCTAAACTTTCAGTTAATTACAAAAGACTCATCTACTTAACCATAATAAGAACTATAGTTGAGCTTTGGGGTTCTACCAAACCATCGAATTCCTTTCCTATCCTATCCTTACAATCCAAAATCCTTCGTACAATACTTAATGCCCCATATTTTGTCACAAATAAAACCATTCACAAAGACCTTAATGTTCCATATGCCGCTGATTTAGTCCGAGCCAGATACCAATCCTTCCTCGATTCGTGACAATCCCCCTAGGCGCCTGAAAAGAAGATGGCCTCGTCATCTTCTCACCTAGAATTAAATAGGGAGTGCTACCACTGGGCAGTATCTCTTCAAGTCTGTTCATGTCATTAATTCTAATGTGTGCATTTTTACTAGTTGTATTGTTTATACAGTTGTAAATTTCATTTAATAAATAAATAAAATAATTTATTTTATTTCATATTATATTTGTAACTGCGTTTGAACAGATCTAGCAAATGTGCTGTCGTTCGTTTTTTCTGCTATTTTCTGAAAATTTGTTCATTTTATGAGCAGGCCACTGCTTTTTTAATCTTCTTTGAGGCTCCCCTAGTAACAGAGATGAAGAAAGAGGGTGGGTAAGTGGATATGGGTGATTAATAGATTGAACTGTGGAATTTGGTGTATTTATTATTTATGTAGATTTTTTACTTCTGGAATGTTCATGTCGCTGTATATGGTGTGATTTGAAACATACCAGGATGCATTAAAGATTTTTCGAAGTATTTTGGACAGTGCAGTTTGTATTTCGTTTATGTGGACGTGTTTTACGGAACCTCAAAGTTTTGCTTATTAAGATTAGTCGCTTATTTTGAGTTGATAGGAGTTTTTTTAAAGTTGAGGAGCTTATTTTAAGTTTAGAGGAGGTCTGTAGTCAAAAAGATGTGACAATTGTTTTGTATCGTCAGATCAGTTCTTGTTTTTTTAGTTAAATTAAAGATTAAAACAATCGTTTACGGAAAGCGCTAGGAATTATATATGAATCTGATCGTTATAAATGAAAATTATACTCATCTTGCCTATTCCATAAAGAATGTAGAGAAAAATATCGATATTTCGATAAAAATTGATTATTAGTGGCTATTCCTAAGTAGAGTTCAATAGCGCGCCTGGGACGCATCTCTGTAAACTCAATTTGTCCAAATTTGTTAGTTAAAACCTTCTCAAACCAAGGCAACGAACCGTCAAAGAAATCTATATAGGATGCAAATAAATTAGCATTTCGCTGAATCCGACATGTGTGAATGGACGGCATAATTGTTTGAATGAAAAAACCTTAGGATGATGAAGATAGATAGGAACTAGAGAACAAATTTTACTTAGGAAAGTGGAAGAATTTGTATTTCCATTAATTAATTTAAAAAATAAAATATTAAGAAGAGAAGGGAGGTTGGGGTGATGAGTCAGAAATAAGAAGGCAAAAATAAATAATAATATTTATTTTAACATTTGCCGACCTTTCGACCTGAAGCTCAGGCCATCATCAGGGCTCTTCCAAAAGCTGGCTGGAAGAGAGTGGAATAGAGTTATTTCTGACTGATCACCCCAACCACTCTTTTCTTCATTATTCACAACAGTCAACCATTAACCCACAAATAGGAAAATATTAAGTTTTTTTGATGCGCCTATGTGCTTGAGAATCAATATTTATATTGGTATTCTTATTTAAAAAATGTTTATAAAATCGATGAAAAATTATCGATATTTCAAACCATAATTTTTTATGATATCGATATTAGGCCTTCAATACCCTATCCCTAGTTCAAGTAAATATGCAATTATATTTCTGTTATGATGAATATGATTATTTTACTATTCTGGATTTCTTATAATCACTATTTATTCTAATATTTAGCTGTTAGAATACGGTCAATATATTTGCTCAACATGAAGGGTTAGTCAAATTCCGTCCTGAAAGAGCTAAAATATTCTAGAGTTGGGACCGTTTATCTTCGTTACTCAATTTGCAGATCCGTCAATATCAAATCACTCCAGGTAATTGGTAGCATTGAGAACCAATCATAGCGGCAAGTTAATCATTGACTGATCATTGAAAAGCGCTGAGCTGTACCGATAAATCTTGTGGACTTTCTCAGAGGAGATGCTGCACCGCTGTAAATGGTCCGGCAGCAGTGAAAGTTCAAGTATGTGACAAGAATGGATGGTAGTGGGGTTGCGAGCTTAGCGCAGTGCCTGTTCCAGAGTCGTCCGGCGACAATCAGCCATGGAGAAGGTTGGTATAGTTTGACTTCATCTTAGCAATATCACCCTAAACAACAATATTTTTTATAATCTGTGTAAACGTTATCTTTAACATGTCAGTTCTCAATGATTCAAATTTTTTATATTAGTGATTTTTTAAAATAATTTAGTAAAAAATACAGTGCGGTTAAATGTTTAATCCATAGTTTCACATAAAAATATTACTATTAAATTTTCAAGGGTATATATTATTCAATCTAATTTTTTTATTATTTTATCCAATGTAATATTATAATTATATTATTCAATATAATTTTATTATAATCATTTGGACTTTACAAAAACTTTATTTAATTTTTTTTTTATTCGACGTTTCGAGTAATTAGGCCTATTTTAAAGTCAAGAATGACATATTTTTTAGCACCAATTTGGTCAATTCTCTTACATATTGTAAATCTTCTGATTTGTTTATATGCGTTCCTAGAAATCATAAAATTAGATTGAACAATATATAAACAAGAAAATGTAATAGAAATATTTTTACGTGAAACTATGAATGATGACATGGAAGAGAAAATAGAACATATAATTGAATACAGGAAAATTGTGGAACCATTATTAGCATTTATAAACACATCAGAATATTCACAATATGTCTGGCCAGAGACAGCAACCAGTCAACATATCTCTGTGTTATTAAGTATTCTATTTTGTTAAAATTGCTTTGATTTCTGCCGTTTTTTTTTTCTTTTTAATATTTTTTATTAAAAGAAATTATAGACATTTCATATTTCCTCTCTACTCATCGAAAAGTAAAAGTATCGAAGTTTTTATACTATTGCGAGCTACGGGACAGTGGTAAACAACTGAGCTCTAGAGGATTAAGCGCAGCTGTTGCTATTACGCATCATAACAACCCGGCTTGTTATTGTAAGTACGATCTATTTACTAAATAACAATATGGCACAATGCCCGCTATGCAGCAGCACCATCAGCCGAGAAGAGAAAAATATTTTATGTTGTGTTAAATGCAAACTTTTATTTCACAGCAGGTGCGGTAAACTCACTGATAAAGAGTTTGAAGCTCAAAAATCCTCAAAAAAAGGATGGATATGCGCTAGTTGCGATCAGCCTAAAAAGATTCCACCAGGTGGTGAAAACCCAGATCAAAGTCACAATACTGAGCCTACACCATCAGAAATTCTGGCAGCAGTAAAGCGGCTAGATATTTTTTTCAACCAGGAATTAAAAAATATTAAAGTAGCGCTAGACAAGTACGGAGATCTGAGCTTCGAAGTAAACACTAGGCTATCTAAAATTGAAAACCACTTAGAGGGACAATCTAAAAAGCTTGAAGAAATAATTTCAGAAAATAAAGCCCTCAAATCTAAAGTCGGTGAACTGGAGGTCAGGCTGAATAAAGCCGAACAGGGCTTGCTTAGTAGATCGCTCGAGATACGGGGCATCCCGGTTCGAGCAGGTGAGACTCCCGCAGCCCTGGTTACAAGTATTGGGGCCGGTCTGGGAATTAAAATCAATGTCGAAGATATAGATACTATGCTGCGCCGAAGAGCAAGAAAAGATGACCCTCGACCACCGCCTATAATCGCGAAATTCGTCAGGCAGTCAGTGAGAGACGACCTGGTGCAGAAGCGAAAAGTAAAAAGGGACTTCTCGACGCGGGAAATCGGTTGGCAGGAAAATGACTGCCACCGTATTTATCTCAGCGAGGAAATGACCCCGACGAACAGGTACCTCTACTGGCTCGCTCGGCAGAAGAAATCAGCAGGGAAAATAAAATATATATGGTTCTCCGGCGGCAGACTGCGGTGTCGAAAGGATGACGGTCATCAGGTTGTCTTTATCGACCAGAGTCAAGACCTAGACGTCTTCGGCTGACTCTTCGATCCCTGTTTACTCCTCAACATCGATAAACAATTTGGCTTAGTTCACAGGACTTACACTGAAAATCTGAAATGTATGTTATGTTACTACCGGAAATTTTTGATTAATTTATTTCTATTGATTATTGCATTCAAAATTTTTTTTCTTTTTAATGGTTTTTTTTCTTATATTTTTATTTTTACATTATTTCATCTAATGTATCATATCCGATCCAGCGTCTGCTCACCAAATTCTGACTTTATTTTCCTCAAGCCTAATCATGTCTAGCATCCTTAATACCTGTCACGTCAACTCCCAATCCCTCCCTGCCCACTATGATGAATTCCTTGAATACTTTACCCATAATTGTTACCATATCATTGCAATTTCCGAAACCTGGCTCAAGCCTTACATCCCTTCCTCATCTGTTTCCCTTCCTAACTACACACTAATCCGCCACGACCGGACGAGCCGGACTGGCGGAGGTGTAGCGTTGTATGTTCACGAATGCATGAAGACCCGAATACTCCACTGCTCTCCACCATCCGATCACCCACATGTAGAGTTCCTAATCGCTGAAATTTCCTTTGATACATCTCCTATCCTTTATGTCGTAGTGTATAGACCTCCTCTTGTTCCCTTTGATCCATCATTTGAATCATCCCTCTTCAACTTTGTTCCTCTTTATACCAAAATAATCATCTCCGGAGACCTAAACACTAATTTCCTTTCCGATTCCAGCGATAAATCATACCTCGAAAACCTTTTTTTCTCTCTTCATCTTTTCATTGTTCCTTTTTCGCCCACTCATCACACCCCCAGGTCCGATACCTGGTTGGACCATTACATTATCGACTCCGCACAGAACCTCCTTTCCTCCTCACAAGTACCGGTCTCCTTTTTATCCTCTCATGACCTAATTCAAATTTCATATAATATCCATACTCCTCCGATCCTACCTAGAACCATAACTTTCCGTAATATTGATGTCCTCACTCGTGAAAAAATCTTACCCTACCTGGAAACCCTTGATTGGAATGGAATATATTCCTGTTCATGTATTGACGCTATGGTTGATATTTTAACTTCCAACCTCCGTAATATCCTTGATTCCCATGCTCCCATCAAAACCTCTACCTTTCGTCGCCCCCCTGCTCCCTGGATGTGTCAGCAAATTAAAGATCTTCAGAAGAGACGCGATGCAGCCCGCAGACGCTTTAGACGCACTAGACTCGCTGACGACTACCAAGCGTTTAGGGTGCTCCGTAACCTGACACAAACCAATATCCGAAGAGCCAAATCCTCCTATTTCCACGAAGCCCTTTCAGCAGCTCCTGATTCCAAAACCAAATGGCAACTCCTTCGTAAACTCTCCCTCTGTGACTCTTCCAGATCACCTTCCTCAGCAGCCTTTCCAGTCAAACCTGATGATTTAAATTCATATTTTATATCAGCTTCCTCCTGCATTCCTCCATCAACCTTTTCCTTCTTTACTCCTGGAATATCATTTAACGACGACAACTTTTATTTTTCAGATATTTCTCCTACAGACCTCATATCCGCCGTCATGAAATCTCATTCCAATTCCATTGGTCCAGATGGTATTCCCGTCAAATTAATCAAATTATGCCTACCTGAAATCCTTCCCGCTCTACTTTTCATCTACAATTTCTCCCTTCAGAACGCAATATTCCCTTCCTCATGGAAAAAAGCCATTGTCCGTCCTTTACTTAAAAATCCTAACCCTTCTTCCCCTGAAGATTACCGTCCAATTTCAATTCTGTCTAACCTTGCAAAACCTCTAGAACGAATAGTCCAATCCCAAATTTCCAACTTCCTAGAACAATCCAATCAACTTGACCCTTACCAGTCTGGTTTTCGACCAGGCTACTCCACACAATCCGCCCTAATCAAAATCGTTAGTGATGTTCAGTCAGCCATAGATGATAAAAAACTAACGGTCCTTATCCTCCTGGACTTTTCCAAAGCCTTTGATACCATTAACCATTCCATCCTTTTCTCCAAATTGAAATCGTTATCCTTTTCCAACAGCTCTATCCTTTGGTTTCAATCATTCCTCTCTCAACGTACCCAAGCAGTCTCTATCCCGAACCAACCTTTATCATCCTATCTAACTCTGTCCTCAGGAGTGGCACAGGGCTCCAGCATATCTCCTCTCCTTTTTAGTTCATATATTAACGACCTTCATAAATCAATCCTTCACTGTTCACATCACCTTTATGCCGATGATTCCCAAATTTACCTCTCCTTCGCTCCCTCTGAATGGCATGATGCGTTTGCCAAAATACAAGAAGACCTAAATCGGATTTGTGCCTGGGCAAATGAAAATGGATTAAGGTTAAACGTTGCTAAAACCCAAGCCATTGTCCTCGGTTCCAAACCCCTTCTCAGATCAAATACCAACATTCCTCTCCTGTACCTGAATGACCAACCCATCACCTTCAACACTTCAGTTAAAAACTTAGGTGTTATCATAGATCAAACCCTCTCCTGGAATCACCATATTTCCCTCATATCCCGACGTTCAATTTCCATCCTGAAACTCTTCCATCGCTTCCGCCATCTCCTACCCATATCCACACGTAGACTCCTAGTATCCGCCCTCATCTTCCCCCACATTGACTACGGCTGTGTAGTGTACGGTGGCCTCTCATCGGAACTTGGAGTCAGACTGAAAAGAATAATGAATGGCTTAGTACGATTTGTCAATGGGACCCCGAGACGTTCTCATGTTTCCCACTACTACGCCGAGTCAGGGTGGCTCTTCCCCTCCTTCAGAAGACAGTACTTCCTAGGTACATTCCTTTACCAAATAATCTATAATCATCGTCCTTCCTACGCATTCAATCTCCTTCAATTCAAGTCATCTATCCACTCCCTCTCCACAAGATCTCGTCCTTCCGACCTTTATACCCCTTTCCACAAATCGGCCTCATTTCAACACTCCTTTATTGTCCGATCCACCACATTTTGGAATTCCATCCCACTTAAAATCCGCCATGCACCATCCTTATCCACATTTAAAACCCTCCTTTTCCAATTCCTCCTTACAATTCAATCAGACGCTGGGTAGCCTATATTGTATTATTATACTATTGTTGCATTGTATGTATGTATATGTGTATGTATGTATATGTATATATATATTAATATATGTATATTGTATATATACTATTGTACTATTATTGTATTCTCACTATTATTGTATTATTGGGTGTATATATTGTGTATGTACGATTACACTATTATTGTATTTCGATTATACTATTATGTTCTACGAACATACTACTATTACTATAACATCTTTATTATTATCTGTCGCTCATTTATAATTTCATAGCGTATTGTGTATAGCAACTATTTTGCAGTATTAGGACATTATTTCTCATATTATGGCTTCCGATATCTGTACAGTTATGTAAACACTTCTTTTATCCCTTATTTTTTAGTTGTTTTTTTTGTTTGTTTGTTTGTTTTTGTTTATTGTAATATACATTTTGGCCAGATGTAATGTTTAATTTTATGTACAATATTGTTATTCTCAAGGGACGTAGTCCCAGAATAAAGTTGATTCTTCTATCTATCTATGTAAGAGTTTATCGGCGAAATTAGAGTTTAACAAATATGTTGATTCTTGACGAAATCGCCCGAAACGTTGTCGAATAAAAAAATGGAATAAGTACAAAGTGTTATCAAAAGTGTTCCTCAAAATAACAAAATTAGATTGTTTTATCCATTTTCCGTCACCAGTAACACAATTCCAAATATAAAATTCTATATATGTGCTTATTATTCACACTGTTAACATTATTTTTAGTAAATAATTATATGGTACTATTACACATTGTAATAATTACGAACTACTAATTATTTCAATAGTTAGTACAATATATTGAGTTTTTTCGATTTTAGGCTGTATTCTTTGGGAGAAATACCAGTAATATAATTTTACACCAGCTATATTTTTATGATATACTCGATAGACAGTAAGGAGTTAGCAAAATAATAATAAATTATGAATGTGTATATTACGGAAAGAAAATTTCTAACACACCATTAAGAGGAGTTAGCTATTGAAATTTTAAAAAATTTACACCAAACCCAAAACTTGTATAATAATTTGATGTAAAAATCAACAGGCCATAGAACCAGAATATTTAATTTTATTTAAAAGTCTGAAAAATCTTTATATATTATCTCTTTATTATATAAAAAAAGTTATTAGTGGTGACCGAGTAATCTTTTTTTTTTTTTTTTTTACATATACAAAGAGGAGCATAACGACGACACCACACTTCTTATTCTCAGAATTATTCCTTCCTTATTATGGTTACAAATTGCCAATAAGAATGATTATAATTATGTAATAATATAAATTGACAATAAGGCACGATGAATAATATAGATTTTTAAATAAACTAAAAATTTGTCCTAACTGTGGTTTCGTTCGATTTATTTTATATTGATAAAAATTAATACAATCTGAAGTCCAGAGCATACAATCAGATACAGATGATACATGTAAAATACAATTATGCAATTTGAGTAACAAGTAGTACGATTAAATCAACAGTTGTATAATTTATGAAATAACGGTTGGTCCGATGTTAGGCGGACTGGTGTACCTCTACAGTTTATATAGAATAGAAAATAAACCTTATTCTGGAACAAGGTCCCTTAAAAATAACAATTATGAACAAAAAACAAAAACTACATCTGGCCAAAAATTACATTGATCAAAATTAAAGAGTATATACATTATCTTCAGTGATTATATATAAAACACAGAATGTATAACCATTAAAAAAAAAAAAACAATAAAAATTAACATTATTGAAATGAAAAGAAAAATAGAAATCGCGGGAAATAAAAAACAAAATGTTATAAGCACTATGAGTTGATTCTTAAAGTTAATACTCAAACAATTTCATCATCCATTCACCTCAATCAAAATTTGAATAAAATTTTATTTTACATCGTCATTTTGGGATGTGAGAAGGAATTGGTTAAGCTGATATTTGTTGAATGAGGATAAGGAAGAGACAGATGACAAGGAATTCCAGAAAATAGTGAATCGGGCAATAAAGGAATATTCAAATATCTTAGTTCTATGGGAAGGGGTATAAAGGTCGAAAACACGGAATCTTGTTTTCTGGGAGTGGACCATGGGTTTGAACTGTAGAATGGCTTCTTTTCTTCGATGACTGTAAACATAGGAAGGGTATCGGGTGTTGATCGTTTGGAATAGGTAAGAACTAAGGAAGTATTTATGATTATTTATGTCACCCCGTTGTATATCGCAAATGTAATAATACGCAAGGATTTAAACATCCAAACAGTTTTAGACACTGATAAAAAAAATTACAATAGCTTTTATCAAAGACTGAGTCTGAACATGAATCCACTGATAGAAATTTTTAAACACACAAGGGACTCCTGAAGCCCACCCACGAGGATTACGTATGCGGCGGCCAAGAGGTTGGCTGAGATGATTTTATTCTGTGGGCGCTTTGAAGCTGTCAACAAAATTTGCTCGTTGAAAATTACAATTTTATTTTCGTTGATAAATAAATATATTAATTCTCAAATGTAATTTTTTGTCCATACGCCACAGCTGCGTTAAGTTTTCGTTAAATTCGATGATATAGCCATAATTTTGTGCAATATCTTCTTGTCCAGGTGTGAAAAATAAGCATATCTCCAGAAAGGCAAGAGGAAAAGGTTATGGAGATTAGGAAATTTCATTTTACATTACTCAATTCCTGATTTCCAGCAAGACGAAAAAGGACTACTTTTGGCAAGGATACATGCAACAGTGAATTCCTACTACATGTTTTAGTTTATTTTAAATACAGTAAAGAAATGCAGTGAATATATATATTTCCTCTTATGTTTTCATTAGTACACTGATCAATATCAGATTTTGTTAACTATGGGAATTATTCAAACAAACCAACAGTTTTTGTTGGTTGCTGATATATGAAGTTAATTTCATAAGTTCTAAAAATTATATATATATATATATATATGAAAGAACTATACTTTTCTGTTAAACAGTTATAAACTTAAGTAAGAAAAATTGTTTCGGCTGAGTACTTCACTCAATAATAAATTAGTATTGACAATCCAGCACCTTATGGAATATTTCTAATTTTTTTTTACAAATTTCAGAATCCAGTTTGTGTAAGTTGTTATTAATACCATTGCGGGACAACTTCATAAATTTCAATATTTACGATCCAGCAAGATAAGGTTGGTGAACTGTGGTATAATTCGCCCTCCGTATTCTCATTGGAGTACGCAAGGCCGTCACCCGGCAATCACAAAATCGAACGTTCAATATTTCGATTAAGTATTTAAGAAAAGTGATTGATTAAACGTTTTTAATCGAATTTAAAAAAGAAGATGCCTATTTTTTTTTTATGCATGCTGTACTTGGGCCTATTTCTCTAAATCTCTTTTTAATTAATAGGCATTCTCGATAAAGTACCCCACATACCTCAATGGGGATCTGATGGAAATTATTAGAGATAGAAAAACGTTTCAAATAAAAACTGTTCGCTTTCGATATTTGTAATGGTTTAGTTTACTGTCACAAACAACTATCAGCTTCTTTTAGTGTTGGACCGATAATTTCTTCGTCATATTTAATTTTCGGTAACTATTCCATATTTCAATCGTTCTCAACAAAGTGTTAATTTTTCTTACAACTCCCATGTCATCACCAAAGACTCTTTCTGGAATGGATAAGTTACCACAGGTCCTAAAACATCCAGAACTACTAAAATAAATGTTAAAAAATCTTCAGAAATGATATTGAGTAACTATTATTGATCAAATTAGACACTACTCATTATCACTTTTTAATATCAGTGCTAAACCAAGCAACAACTCTAAAAATTTTTTACCTTTTTATCGACAATCATTTCAACCAAAAATCATTGTGGATTCGTAAATAGATTGCAAGTTCAGACTCAAAATTATAGAGACTGAGTGATAAGTTTCTCTGGATATTTAATATAAATTCTAAACTTTATACCAGAAGTTTTTGAGATTACCACTCTTCCCTTTATTTCAAAGAGTTTTCATAAATGTAAGAACACATAATTATTCTAAAAAAAATTAATTGTTTCTATTTATGAACAAAACAGTCTTTGATTGAATTTTAATTATTTGATCAAAACATTTTATGTTTACAGTCAAACAATATTCAGACCGCAGTGGTTGACTATTTATTTATATTAATTTTCAATTTAAATTGTTTTAATTCATTTATTGCTTTCAGATATTGGTACCTTTGTTAGTTATTGCAGTATATACGTCGTCGGTGTGGTGTGAAAACTCGACAAGAACTGCGAAACTAGAAATACTGTAAGTTCTGATTTCGTCACTAAATTATTATTATTTTCTTTTAAATAAAATGTCTTCTTAAACATTTAACTCTTGAAACAGAGAATAAAAACATCATATTTATAAGAAATTAAGTTTTACCCGTAGACACGCCTGTTACAGTTTTTATGTCTCACTGATTTTCTGGCAGATTGATATCGAACGTATATAACAAATAATGGATCAACAACGAAATTGCGGTCAAGGCCTTAAAGATTGAAATATTTTATATAAATATAAAAATAAAATAAAAAAGGGTAGTTGAACGAATATACTTGAGTTTCGATTAGAACTTCATTTTTTTTTATATATGTTCAGTTTAAACAGTTTGGAAGGAACCCTTCTATAAATACTTCAAAACAAAGTCCTGTTTTTTTTTTTATAAATTTAGCTTTTAATTATTAATGATCATTAAAAAGTTACGATAAATGAGAAATAAACAGTATTTATTTACGTATTATTTCTCTTAAATAAATCACCAGGTTATTATATTTTCTTTGTTTGAAAATGTACTGAGCAATTAACATTTTCAGATATACTTTTGATTTTAAAGCATTTAATAAAAATTAATTGAAAGTTTTTGAGATAAAAGTTCTAAAAACTTTTATTCAAAAGGACTATAGAAAAATATTCTAGTTCTGAAGGAACAGAAATAAGATCGAAAATATAAATTTCAGTCATATTGAAAATGATTAAAAAATATAGTTTTTCATTTCCTTTCGTATGTTTTCCTGTTTTCGAATGATACACTTATTACCGAAATGAGTTGTCAATTTTAATTAAAGGAAATATTCCTTTTCGTTTTTATTAGATTCAAAAACACGCGAATCGTAAATTCTTAGCATTACTTCCTATGGCATGAGGATAATGGTCTCGATCACCTTGATATGCAACACGACAATTTATCACAGTTATGATATTTGTTACGAATTCTTATAACTGTTTGTTTATTATTTATTAGACTAATGCGGCTGTGGTTTCTATTCACACCAAGCTATTTAAAAAATAATTACTACATGTATATATTTACAAAATTAGTAAATCGATCGAAAATAATTAATTCGTATTCAAAATGTCTAATTTAACTAAATTTTTTATCTCTGCAAGATCTCTGCAAGATCATCGGTAACAACTTTTATTCTGTTTCGCTTACTATTATTATCATTTACTATTTTTTTAAAATCAAAGTTTTTTAACCACTTTTTTCGTAGTCATTCAAGTTTTCTTTCATACTTGGTGCTTTATCAATTTTGTTTCTTACAGTTCCAAATGTAGTGCAATTTTAAATATTATTTTAAACTGTTCTTTAAAGATTACAAATCGCACAGGCTGGAGGTTATAAGTCCTCTTAGTAGGCAGGCATGTGAAAACTTTCAATGCCCAATCCATAGGCAGCAGACAACTCTTTCTTCTTTCCTGTAGAGACGGTTAGAAGTTTTCCATTTGGAACAGTGCCTTTTTTTGTTTTTAATTTAGATTCTTTGTGTTTCCATTTGTTTATTCTCCACATTTCCTTCTTTATATATTGTAAGAAATCTTCTAAAGGGACTTATGTTTCTCGCATTTTCGCCCTCCCTATCAAAATTCGTCATGCTCCCTCCGTTTCCACATTCAAAAACCTCTTATTCCAATAACAGTCAAATACCTGTTAACTATTGACATTATATATATATATATATATATATATATATATATATATATATATATATATATATATCATATAAATTATCATCATATGATAATACTGTTCTTTGCTAGGGATAATGCATGGATTTCCTACTTTCTATGCCACCCAATACATCTTTTTTTTTTCTTTTTTTTAATTATTAATCATATTTTTCTTATATACAACTAAATTCTTACACATATCTTCCATAACAGATAATCTTGTTCTTCTTATAATGCATTTACATATTATCCGAAATTTACACGATTAGGTTTAAATTGACAGATGCTGATTTCATTTTTCTAAGTAGAAACTTAGTATATTTATGAGAAGAATTTAATTTATTTTGCCCTTTTTCGTTTCTTGAAGTGTATATTTATGCTGTTGAATATAGTTTTAAGTGTTTTGTACATAGTTTTATTTGTTTTTTATATTGCAGCTTGTTCACTTCAGGTTTTCTTTACTTTTTAAAATTTGATTTATTGTTTAAAATTTTTATGCCAGAAGTAGTATTTTCTTTTTGTGCATTTTGCTATTCTAAAGAGACTTCGTTCCAAAATAAAGCTTTTTCTATCTATCTATCTTTTAGCTGCTATATCTGCTTGTTCATTTCTGTTGATTCCGCAATGTAAAGGACCCAGAAGAACATTATTTCCTTTTTCCTTAATATCCACCAAAATTTCTTTTTACTCTCGCCAGTATAATTGCTAGGAATGTGTTTTGGATGGCTAGTATTGCAATAATTGAGCCCGTTACCACTGACTTTAATTAAATTAAATAATCACTCAATGTTTTCATTTATATCAAGATTAACAAATTAAATATTACTCTTGCACCAGCATTATCAACCTATTTCATATTTCAGGCGCTACAAGAACGATTTAATAAATGAATAGAAAAAAATCAAAAGGATACATTGTTATAATGATTTAAAATTTTCAATTATTACAAGAAAAATATAGAATAACCTGATAGATAAATTGAAATAATGAGACTTTGAATTAAGCAGACACTATTACTTATACCTTATTATACAACAGTTTCTTTTTTTTATTTAAGATAAAATACTACTAATGCTTTCTTGGATAACTTTGATTATTTTTGCTTGACACGTACTTATATTTAGTTGCTGAAGTACATTCGTATTTATTTAGGTATTTGGGTCAGATCACAAACAGAAGTAAAATTGGACCAATGAAAAAAAAAAAAGTTTTTATTTTGGAGATGACTTCAACCCGAAAGCCTCCTTCTCTTTTCTTTCTTCGCCCTGACTGCTAACACACAACTCCTTACGCAACTACTATTAGTGATACAATTATGTAAAATGGTATGCTGTAGCCTCATTGTACTCTATTCATGTTAGCTACATGTTTGGAAATGATGGTAATATGCTGTATTAATATTTATGTATTAATGTTCTCAAATGTTGTGCGTTAAATCACCGCCAATTTAAAGCTTTTTATTTTTTTTTAATATTTGGAAAGTAAATCTTTTAATAAGGAAATAATTCTCGAAAAAGAAGTATGGTTGCCTAGTCAAGGTGTTATGATAAAAACAAATACACTATTTAAAATATTAAGTTCAAACGGTTATAGAAATGAAAAAATATCCTTATATCCTTAATTCGCAAATAAAGAAAGAATGCCTTTTCTCGCCTACATAACTCCACGTTTAAATGGCTTAAACGATGATACTTCATTGGGAGAGAAAGAGCCAGTTTTTCTTATTTATAAAATATCTGATATAATTAGTGCTTTTGGAACAAACTTATACCAGAACAACCGTTTTTTTTTTTTTTCGGCAACAATTTGTCACCTTGTACGCATTAAATTATTTATTAATAAGAAACTTCTTCAGGAAACCGAGAATTTGGCCAGAATTTCTCTTCATCCTCGTTTATTGACACGACAGAAGCTTAAAGCGATCCTCAATATCCATGTTTTATGTTTCGGTCTTGAGCACGTGATACACTTATTCTTAGTTTCGTGAGATCTCCCAGGACATTGTCTTTCCATCTAGCATTTGGGCTACCTCCAGACCTTACTTCATCCGGGCGGTTCTCATACTCTTCTTACCATCCTTCCTTAATCCATTCTAATCTAAACAAGAGTCCAAGCAATTTCAGTCTCTACACTGCCAAAAGAGGAGATGTTCAAGTCACCATAGAGTTCATAAAACTGCATTATTTGTTCTTCGCATTACATTTTGCTGTACTATTCTTATGATACGTCTGAGGATACGCCTTTCAAATCTATCTACTAACTGTGAATAATTCTAATTTAGTGTCCAAGCCTCACAGGCGTAAGTCGCTAAAGACCGAATCTTTTGTAGAGGACAATCTTTGTTCTACGGCTAACAATTTTACTTTTCAGTAGTTAGGCAAGCGAAAATTTATATGGTTTTCAGTCACAATTTCTTCTCATTCATTTTGCCTATCATTAATGACTATGCCGAGGTATTGAAAGCGGTGAACTACTTCAAAAGTATAAGTCCCAGCGAGTCAAAAGCATACGAACGTAGTGTGGCTGTTGGCTTATTCGCTTTTTTCCTCTTAGTAACATGAGTTTTTGTGTTTTCTTTATTTATTTTTAATCGAATCTACCTGATCCGATCTAACGCCTTTGCAGTCTGTCCTTAGAGACCGTAGGTTGTGACCTTCCGATTATCACGACTTTGTCCGCATAGTCGAATACTTGAGTCATCAGATTAAAAATATTCCCGTCTGCAATCAGTCATACTTTTTTCATGACAGACTGTAGTGAAATATCAAAAAGAAAGGTGCAAAAGTCCCTCTCACATACTACTTAGCAATATGAGCCTTTCATCGATAAACCACATAGTATTCTTGTTGTTTTCATTCCTATAATATAAAAATGGAAATAGTTTCAGAACAGTTACAAATGGAATAAATAGATTTAAAAGACGAAATAAAATATAAATTTCAAAAGGTTGACATCACAGGCGGATCTACGGAAGGGGGGCTTTCAGGCTGAAGCTCCCCCCCCCCAAATGGTAAAATATAACCATGTTTTACAGAAAAAAATATTAAAAATTATCTCTTAAAGTATTCTTGTTTGTGTAATTATATTTAATAGAGCTTCAAGAACCACTTAAACACCATTTCATATAGGTAATTAATTTCTTTATTTTTTTTCAAATTAATTATCGTTATACATATATGAAAAAAAAAATCTTTCGGGCTGAAGCCTCCCCCAAAATTAAATCCTGGATCCGCTAGTGGTTGACATACATGATTTATATCAAAATTTGGACAGAAGTTTAGGGACAGATTCAAAAGCAAACAGTGACATACTTT